TGAGTACACCCACACACGAGATGGTCATGAGAGCACCAGGACGAGAGCAGAAAGACAGAAGAAGAAAACACAGGGGAAGAAATGGCTTACGACTTCCCAGATTTGCTCAGAAGCATTCATTTACACGCAGAAAATCTCCATAAACACCAAGTAAGTCCACACCCAGACGCCTCACAGCCAAAAAGACAAAGAAATTCTTCAAATCATGGACAAGGGAACTCAAATAATGGTCAGAGTTGGCTTCTGATCAGAAAGGAAAAAGATGGGGGACAGAAGGCAATGGGGAAGTGTATTCAAAGTGTTGAATAAAAACTGCTAACCAAGGATCTTGTGTTCAGCAGAACTGCTTTCAAAAATGAAGGTGAAATAAAGGCACCCCTAGATAAGTAGAGGCAGGAAAATTCATCACTATCCAACCTGCCTTACAAGAGATACTACAGGAAGACTGTCAGGTTGAAAGCAGGTGACATAAGCAGAAGTGTAAAAGAAAAGGCAATGACCAAGATGATCACACATGGGTAATTATGAAAGATAGCATCTTTCTTCTCTTACCTCAATTAAAAAGCAATTGCATACAGTGATATGTATATAATTGTATTGTTGGGCCTATGATGTACAGAAATGTGACATTTTTTTTTATTAAATTTTTTTTTAACGTTAATTTATTTTTGAGACAGAGTGTGAGTGGGGGACGGGCAGAGAGAGAGAGGAAGATAGGGAATCGTACACAGGCTCCAGGCTCCGAGTTGTCGGCACAGAGCCCGACCTGGGACTTGAACTCATGAATGGCGAGATCATAACCTGAGCCGAAGTCAGATGCTTAAATGACTGAGCCACACAGATGCCCCAGAAATGTGACATATTTAACAAACAGAACAAAGGAAGCAGCTGAGTGAAGAAATGACGCCCAATGGCAACTTGAATCTGCTGGAAGAAATGAATAGTATACAAGACGGGTAAAATGGTAAACTCCAGATATATATTTGTTCTCCTTTCTCATCTCGACTTCCTTAAAAGATGTAGAGTTCTGTAAAGTAGTAACTATAAAAATGCATCCTTGCGTTTGTAACATTATGGATTTACAGACATCATGTATAATAATAAATGACAGCACAGAAAGGGGAGCAGGCCAGACAGCTATATAGGAATAAACTTTTTAGACATCACTGAGATTTAGCATAAATCTTAAGTAAATGTTGATACCAAAGCAATCACTAACAAAAATAACTGAAAAAATAGAGTAAAAGCAAAAACAAGAGAATTAAAGTGGTACACTGGAAAACTTCACTTAAAAAAGAAGAAAGTAAGCAGGAAAGAAAGAGGAATAAAGACACGAGACATATAAAAGACAAATATCAAAATAGCAGATGTAAAGTCTACCTTAGCGGTCATTGTATTAAATGTGAATGGATTAAACAATCCATTCAAAAGGCAGAGATTGGCCGAAAGAAAAACCACTCCAGCTCTATGCTGCCTGTAAGAGATACATTCTGGATTCAAAGATACAAATAGGTTGAAAGTACAAGAATGGAAGTAACATACAATGACCAAAAGAGACCTGGGGTGGCTGAGTAGTATCAGACAAAATAATCGTGAAGGCAAAATTGTTACTAGGGACAAAAAGGGCCATGCTATTCTGATGAAGGGGCCAATCCATCCACAAGACAGAACTATTATAAACATACATCTAAAACAGAGCCCCTGAAACACATGAAAATAAACTGGCTGAATTGGAGTGAGAAATCGAGAGTTCAACAACAGTAGTTGGAGATTTGAGTACATGAATGGACGGCAGAAGATCAGAAATCCAGGTGACTGCCACAACACTGTAAACCAGCCAGCCCTAACAGACACATCCAGACCATTCCACACAACTGCAGAATAACACTTTGTTTTTTCAAGTGGACTACTCAATCGCCCTACCTCATGGGACTGGTGTGAAACTCCATGAAACAAGACTCAATACATTTAAAAGGATTGAAAATATACAAAGCATGTTCCCAGACCACAATGGAATAAAATTAAAAAAAAAAAAATCAATAACAGAAGGTCATTTGGGAAAGTCACAACTACGAGAAAATTAAAAAAAACACTCCTAAATAACCAACGTTCCAAATGAGTGAATTGTGTGCTATGTGAATTATATCTCAGTCAGGCTGTTTAATCAATGCGGTTCACAGCAAACTCTCCATCTGAGCTGGTGCTTCCATGATGACGGAAGTCCCCAGGTCCCTCTGTTGGGACCCTGTGGATATCTGGTGCTTACACATCTCCCAAATCCATATGGTTCACAGATAGGACCCAGCAAGATTAGAAAGCTAAGAACTCTGGAAAAAGGATAGGCCTCACTGTGTCTACCCGAGGACCCAGGAGCAGACAGGACGGGAGTTCTCGGTGGACTCCATGGGACCTCAGCTAGAGATGACCGTCAGAGCTTCCTGGGGGCCTGGACCCCAGATCCTAGGAGAATTTCTGCATGTACATAGAGCGTCCACACCTCTCGTCAGCTTCCTGATAGAGCCCTTGACCCAAAAAGCATTAGGAACCATGAGAGGCATCTGTGGGAATTATAAAAGGAGCCCCTTCCTCCTGGCACAGGGCTTGCCAAGAGGAAGGCAGGCCCCTCACTCACTCAGCCACAGCCGTGGAGCTGGGACGGCTCAGTTCTGGGTGTCGGGTCTGCTGGGAGGGACAGCACTGGGAGTCTGGCTCAGGTCGGCCGCTCAAGCTCACCCCAGCAGCATGTGTGCAGGGAAGACGTAAAAACTTCTGTAAGCTCCAGCTTTGTCCTCTATTATATGAGGATCACGGCTACCTCCCCGCAGGGCTTAGTGTGAAATCTACGTCCCTCTCTCCTATGCCTGCCCTCCTCCCCCACTGCCCCCATCAGCTCCTTCCCTTCCTCCTTCAAGCTCCACCTCTGGACGTGTGTGTTTGTATGTAGGTATACGGGCATGTGCACGTGTGCATACGACTAGCTCGGTGCCTGTATACGTTTACTAACTGTCTGTAAAAACCAGCTGAATTGGCATCTCCAAACATCCCACAGGCACGAGAGGACAAACAGACTGCTGCCCGTCTACCCATTTTGAGAATGCTCCCATGAACACAGAGTTCAGAATTTGTGCCTCCAACTCTGGCCGCTCTCGACATGGCCGCTGCCCCCAGGGGTCAAGAGGAGCCGGTGGAGGCCAGGGCCTGGCTGAGCTCTGGATGACCTCAGACTTAGTCTTGCTGGCTGGCCAGCGGGGAGAATCGCCCTACCTCATGGGACTGGTGTGAGCATTGAGAGAGCACGCCTGGGCGCCTGGCGGCTCAGTCGGTTAAGCGTCCGACGTCGGCTCAGGTCACGATCTCACTGCTCGTGGGTTCGAGCCCCACGTCGGGCTCTGTGCTGACAGCTCGGAGCCCAGAGCCTGCTTCGGATTCTGTGTCTGTCCCTCTGCCCCTCCCCTGCTCGCACTCTGCCTCTCTCTCTCAAATATAAATAAAACATTAAAAAAAAAAACAAACAAATAAAAAATGGAAGAGCGTGCCTGGACCATAGTGGCGCAAGTAGTGCCTGAGCCCCGTTGGACCGTTGTTCACTCCACCCGCAGGGTGTGCTGGCGAGAACTGAGGACAGACGCCCAGCACAGGCCATGCGAATGCATCTCGAAGTTGCTGGCACACGCAGTGCCTGCCGCAAGGCCGTCGTACCCCTTTCCAACGTGCTGCTTTTGGCGCAAGCAGCTAGAGAAAGCTAGACAAAAGCTGCTGTTTCCTTCTCACAAAAAGCCAGGTCACTTCTGCAGCGTTTCGCTCGAGAGCCCTTGACTTCAGACAAATGCAACATCGGCTGCTGCTTGCTGTTTGCACCGTGCCCAAGGCAACGGCACAGACGGGGCGCCCGGCGTCCTCTGTAAACAGGAAACTCGAAGCAGAGCGGACCCGGTGTCACCTCGACAGCCACCTGCCGTCCGTCTCACTTGGAGTTCACATACTAACCACAACTTCAAAGAAGCCATTTTATTGAGCCTCGGGGCTTGATAAGGCCTGAATTCGGGTCCAAATGAAGGTGGGACTTATTTTAGATTAAATATTGATTTAGAGTATGGATGTCAAGAGGTGGGGCAGGCGTACGTGCCTAGCAAACGGCTTGGTGATTTTCCTCCCTCTCAACACCGGGCACGTCTGAAATAAAGACGTTTAGGACTGATAGGGACCCACCCCTCAAACCGTCACTTCGGCTGGCTTTGCTCCTTAGGGTCAGACGCTGTCAGACCCTGAGGCAGCACGCTTGTGGGGAAAGGCACTTCCCGGGGGGCAGGGAAGGCTGACCCCTCCTGGAGTCTCCCACGGCTGCCTCCTCTCTGGACGACACCCTCCCCGGCCTGCCCCGACGGAGGCCTCGCACTGTGTGCTCAGCTGCACGAGTGAGCACTCAGACACACAGGACGCCTCGCAGATGCAGGCCCACGGGTCCCGGGTGGGGGTCACATCTGCGAGGGCAACACCCCCCTGGTCCATCTGCTCAGTGAGGACAGAGACAAGCCTCAGGTCAGGGCTCACCAGACCCTGTAACTGTCCCTGAACGGCGTTGGCTCAATCCCGCTTCAGCACAAAGCGGGGCGGGTGGGAGGGGAAGGGGCTGCCGGGCACGGGGTCCCAGGTTCTGAGGGTTTTGGGGGCTCAGGCCGTCTGCCACTCCAGCCGGGGTCTAGAGGGCAGGTTCTACGGTCACCACCAGAAAACACCGTTTATTTACGGAAGCCAAACGGAAAGTCAAGTGGCTTCGGGACCGGAAGCCCCTTTGGCCGAGGTGCTGATGTGAGAGCTGGCCCGGGGGGCAGTGACCTCTGGGTCTGAAGGAGTCCCAGCATGTACTTTCCTCATCGGTCAAAGGGACTCATTTGCCCCTGGCCCTGCTGCCCCTCAACTCCGCAGGGACCAGGGGGGCAGCACCTCGGGAAGGCAGAGGGCTTGGCACAGAAGCGGGGACAGAGGCCGTGTGCACTGACCTCAGATTCCGAAGCGTCCACAGACTTCTCCTTGAGGTTTGTGCTCTCGGTCAGCACGGCGCTGTTGTATTTGTTGCAGATGTCCTCGTCTGAGTAGTGCAGCCCGCCGGGGCTGGGCCGGGGTGGGGACCTAGGACAGGACGCCGCCCACGGGACGGACACGGGCTCAGATATCCGGGCCGCAGCTACCTCCCCGGGGCCCTCCTGACCCGTCCTCTGGCTGCTGCCCTGTTGGGATGGGTGGACGTCCATTCTGGTGGCACCCGTCTGCCCGAGAAGCAGGGACTCCCTCACGCTCAGCCAGCCTGCGGGGCGCTCGGCCTCCCGAGACCACGCCCCTCCGCGCCCGAGACGGGCCTTCTTTTTACATCTCTGGAACGGGAGGAAGGATGCCCCGGGCCCCCTGCCATGTGCGCCCCCCCCCCCCAGACTCAACGCGGCCCTGTTGGGTTGTGGCGGGTGCCCGTGGGCACGGCGACATGCCCGCGGCCAGACCATTGGGCAGACGTGGCCCAGGTAGGTTACGGGCGCTGCGTCCCTACCTGGTCCCGTTCTTCTTTGAGAAGGTGTTCTTGACATTGAGGTGGCGGCTGTTGAGCTCCAAGGCGGCAAACCCTCCATTGTCCAGGGTCACGGTCTCCTCCATGTTGGAGATGTTCTTCCCTAGAGCCGGGACGGGAGAACGGGTTCATGGGCTGCAGTCAAGGGCTCGCTGCGGGTCTGAGGGCCGCACAGGTGCTCGGCCTACAGGTGTACGGAGTTCCCGCTGGAAGCAGGGCCCAGAGCCCGGCCAGACCCGCCTGGGCGCGCGGGGTGGGCGGAGGCTCGCCGGGGAGCCGGCAGCGTATTAATCGCAGCGCTCGGAGCACTGTGGTGTTTGCTTTGTCTGACACCAAAACACCAGCCTTCCTATCAGAATTGACGGAGGAGCCCTCAGGATGCATCGGCGTTTTTTTTTTTAAAGTTGAGGATTAAGTATTTTATACATTTCAAAATGACGACCTCATGACCACCTAATAAAACAGTAAATGGAAAGTAGATTTGCAGGGGGTGACAGTCCAGGGGACACGGGGTCTTTCTGGGGTGGTGAAGATGTTCTAGAACCGGCTGTGCTGACGTCCGCACGTATCTGTCAACACGCGAGAAGCCACTCAAAAAAATAGGTTTACAAATACACGTGAAAATGTGTTCTCAACTATGTCGGCAGATCAAACGAATAACCGTGAGCTTGGGAGAAACCACAGGAGACGCCGAGAGTCCCGTGTCTTCCTGTCCTCAAGGCTGTCTGTCCCCTTCCCCCAGAGTCCTCCTGGCCCACCGTCCCCTTCTTTCAGCTCACAGCCCAAGCGACACAGGACCAGAGAGCATCTTCCAGACCACCCGAGACAGCGACCGTCCTTCCCCCTCCCCCTCCCCCTCTTCCTCCTCCTCCTTCTCCTCCTCCTCTCCCAGAGATGCGTAGAGCGCCCCCCCGTGGTGCTCATCCCAGCAGCGCTATTTTTCACCTGCTTGCGTGTTCCTTACCGTCCACCTCCCATCTCTCCTGGCCAGACCACAGCCCTTGGAGGCAGGGACCCCACCTGTTTTTCTCCCGCTGTGCTCGCCTCCAGGACAGGGGCCACTCCAGCTTTGTTAAAACCCCACGGTGCCCTCTCCGCTTTGAACCAGCGCCCGCCACCCCCCCCCCTTCCCGAGGGTCCGGAAAGCTCTAGGTGCACGCAACGGGAAAAGCCGGCAGGACAGAGACCTGCAGATCGTGGGTCATTCGCCGGCCAGTAGGGGTCTGGGGCTGACTGATGAGCGGGTGGGCAGGTAAAAAGCAGTATCAGAAAGGAAATCCAATAAGGGTGGTGTGTGAGGGAGGCTGTCGGGCCGGAACGGTGAAGGTTTAGGGTCTGCGTGTCTCCCGGCAGGAAGGCAGACATTCGAGTAGACACCTTTTTTTTTTTTTTTTTCTAGGCTTCAATTATGATGTTAAATTAATACTCCAGGGTGAGGCTGAGTATCAGAAGCTTGGGTCAGGTCTGGCTTTTCGGGGCTGTTTTCCAGATGCAGAAGGAGAGTGAAAAGCGGGGAGATTTTCTGTGTGCCAGACACAGGATTCTGGAATAGCATTAACTCAATAAAATGACATGCCATTCATACATAGTAAATCCCATAGGAATAAAATCTGATTTACGAACACTTGTTAGAAGTGAATTTATACAGAAAAAAATAAACCCTTTCTTGGAGGGATGAATTGCTTAATGCCAGGAAAGCAAACGGTGAGGCGCCTGGTTGTGTTAACCCGTTAGGCACAGGGATGGATGGAACTGGGAGGCTGAGGCTGGGGAAGCCGCTCAGCCCAGCCCCTCGTCCCTGAGGGCTCACGGGGCCGGCTCCTTTGCAGGAGGACCCCACCAGGGAGCCGGCCTCCTGGGGAGCAAAGACGGAGGAGCAGTGGGAATAGCTCCAGCTATGGGGCCTGTCCTGCCGCCCTGGTGACACCAGGGAGCTGGTCACGTTCTCGGCCAAGCTACAGCTGTGATGGAACAGACAGCCGTGGTTGTGCCAAGAAGTGGTCTCCTAGGTTATTAGGAGAACTGAAGAAAAACCGAGAAGAATAAATGCGTAAAGTGTACTTATCTGACACGTCCGGAGTGACTTGTTTGCTACGTGTGTAATTGCCATGGGCGTAGAGATATGGAGCCCCATGAACCCCGAGGGGCTCCCTCACCTGCCAGGGTCCCAGAACCCCAAGGGGCTCCCTCACTGACCTTCTCTGTTGATACTTCTCTCCCAACAGGCAACCACTATTCTGTCTTCTAGAAACTCCCACTCATTTTGGTGGTTCCAGACCTTCCTATAAATGGAGTCCAGCTTTGCCCCGTGTTCGTTTGTCCATTTCTCTGATGGGGGCGATCCACTCAGCAACAGACACTTACTGAGAACCTTCTGTGTGCCAGGAGCTCATACTGGGGAGGCAGTGGTGAGCCGGGCGCCAGAGGGCGCGGAGCTGGGACGTGGGGTTTAAGGTGAGGTACAACTCAACCGCTGTCTGGCTGAACCCCGCACCTTGTTTCCATCGGCGGCTCCCTGAGCCTCACCGATGCTTCGGAGACGTGCCCAGCACTGCGTTCCCGTGACACTGAATAGTCTGGTGATTCATCTGGTCAATGCTTCTGGCTAACGCGTTATAGTTCACGTTCAAAAATACCGCTGCATCTGGGAAATGGTGCTTATGGGGAAAACAGACGCAGGGAGGCCAAAACGACCCAAGCGATGGACAGGAGACAAGGGCCAGGGCCAGAGTCCGGGCCGCCAAGCTCTAGGACACCTGCGCGCTGCACCCAGCTGCCTCCCGAAGGAAATCCGCTGCGCCTATCTTATCACCCGCAAAGGGGATGCTGGCCCCACAGACCCTGGAGAGATGGGAGAAAACAGTGGCGGGGGGCGGGGGGGCCGGGGGGCAGACGCCTCACCTGTGCCACAGTTCTTGTATCTCTTGTTCTGCCCGTGCAAGACCAGAGCAAACACCACCAGCAGCAGGACGATCAGGCTGGACAGCGCCATCACCAGGAGGAACCACCACTCCCCGTAGAACGGGGTCTCCACTTGCGCTGAGGGGCACACCAACACAGTCACACGTGATGGAGACTCCTGCCTCCTGTCCGGGAACAGGTGGCGGGGCTCTGTGCAGGGTGGGGGCGGGGAGGGAGGAGGCGACGAGCCCCGAGTCACCGGGAGGACGGAACCACGGGCTGGCGTGGGTTCCAGCTTCCCAGACCCAGGCTCGGGCGTGACGGGCTCTGCGGCCGCTGCTCCTTCCCTGCGGGAACCGGGCTCGGGGCCCCCGTGGCACCCACGTTGCCCTTTCCCAGAGCTCGCCCTGCCCTTGACCATCTACACCGTCCTTCGTGCTACTTCCCGTGACCTCCACTGCTCGCGGATGTCGTCCGGGGTAAAGACAGGAAGGGTGAGAGTGCCTGGATGCCCTCCCCTCTTCTAGGGCCCAGGCTTCCCTCCCGGATGGCCCCGCGGTCCCCTTACCCTCTCCACCAGGGCCGCCACCCACCCCTGCCTGCCACAGCCTCTTCTCAGGGGGCTTCTCCTCTACTGGACTCACCCCAATCCACGCCCTACACTGTCACCAGAGAGATCTCGCTCAGATGGAAACAAACCGTCGCTTCCTAAAAGCCTTCGGTGCCCCACGTTAGCCACGGGGCACAGTCCAAGCCTAGGGGCCCCGTGGTCTGACTCCTGCTCACTCCTGGTGCTAGATCCCATCCACCCCTGCACAGAAGCCTCCCCGCTGGCCTGTTCTGCCACACCAGGGCTCCCCCAGGGCCGCGGTTGTAGTTTATTTATTTTGCGCCTCCAGCAAAACTGAGCAGAACTGGCCCATCTATCCCTGTGTTTTTTGAGGCACTGAACAGAAAAGCTTCATTTAGAAGTTGCTTTGAAGAAGGATACTTTTTTTTTTTTTTTTTT